TTAATTAGCTTTTAAAGATTTATTTAAGCCGGCGCCCCAGCTCACTAGGCTAATCCTCCTACTTGCGGCGCTGGCACACCGGGTTCTAGTCCTGGTCGGGGCGCCAGATTCTGTTCCGGTTGCTCCTCTTCCAGGCCAGCTCTTTGCTGTGGCCCGGGAAGGCAGTGGAGGATGGCCCAAGTACTTTGGGCCCTGCACCCCATGGGAGACCAGGATAAGTACCTGGCTCCTGCTATCAGATCAGCGCTATGCGCGCTGGCCGTGGTGGCCATTGGAGGGTGAACCAACGGCAAAGGAAGACCTTTCTCTCTGTCTTTCTCTCTCACTGTCCACTCTGCCTGTCAAAAAAAAAAAAAAAGAAATGCTTTTACCTCAAGGTCCAGAAGTGGCTTCTTCACTTGCTGTCTAGCCTTATAAGAACTTGTCCCAGGACTTGGTCCTTTATTCTGGCTACCATCTGTAATGATGGCTCAATAAGCCTTTTTATCTCACAGATCTCTTGGTCTTAAAAGTTTTGGTTTAATATCTTATACCCTAAATGCTGTTCATATTGGCCACAATTACTGTCAGAGCAGGGGCTTCAAGAATATGCCAACAACAAATGAACTCTCTGTAGAGGCCAGCCCTTCAGAATCAATCATTGTTTAAAAAGACCCATTTATTTATTTATTTATTTGAAAGGCAGAGCAATAGAGAGAGAGAGATATCTTCCATCTGCTGGTTCACTCCTCAAACGCCTACAACATTAGGTTTAGACCAGTCCCAAGCAAGGAGCCAGGTTTCCAACTACATGGGTGGCAGGAGCCCAAGTACTTAGGCCGTCATCTGCTGCCTTCCCAGGTGCGTGGAATCGGAGCAGCCAGAACTCTAACTGGCACTCAACTATGGGATGCAGGTCTCATCAGCAGTGGCTTAATGCATTGCTTCACAATGCTGACCCCAGAATCAATTATTTTTACCGTGGTTCTCAGAGACTTATCTGGAATCCTTCCCCCCTCCTGGCCTTTTGTTATCAGTTAAACATAAAACTCCCCTACTATTTAAAAAATTTTGTCTTCCCTTTCTCCCATTCTTTTAAAATTTTTATATATTTATTTTTATTTGTTTGGCAGAGACAGAGATCTTCCATCTGCTCCTGGTTTACTCCCCAGTTGCTTGCAACAACTGGGGTAGGCCAGGTGTTATATATTAATGTTAGCCATTGCAAAACACACCAAACACCGGAGTAAGAGAAAGGGTTTATTGGGGAATACCCAACAGACCGGAGTGAAGGGGCGGCGAAGGAAAAAGAGAGAAAGAGAGTATAAGAAAGAAACAGAGAGGAGGGAGAAGAGAGACGAGAGGAGGCGAGAAGCCAAGAGAGCGCAGGAGAGAAGGATCAAGAGAGCATGTGGTCAGGAACAGGCCCTTTTAAAGCTTTGCCTGAGGGTGGGCAGGGAAGCAAGAGCAGCAAATCCCATTAGGATGGGGGTGGAGCCTGACTCAGGTAGCTAGGCCATGTGGCCACCTGGCTAAAACTGCACCAGTTTCCTAACACCAGGCCAATGTGGAAAACTCAAGCTGGGTCTCCCATGTGGTGTCAGGAACCCAAGTACTTGAGCCAACACCTGCTTCTTCCCAGGGTGGGAATTAGCAGGAAGCCTGAATTAAAAACAGAGCTAGAAATCTAATGCAGCTCTCCAATATGGGATGTGGGCATCCCAGGCAGTGTCTTAACCACTGCACCAAATGGTCCCTAAAACTCATGTCTTTGTGCATGCCCTAAGATGGGTAGGGAACATCTGACTTAGGAGCCATGCAAGGCCTGCCAAATTATTTGGTTTGACCTTGCCAAGGCAACTAAAGATGGGACTCAAAATTCAACAAATCCATAGCAGGCTAATCTTTAAGTTGGTAATTTTGTATGACCTGCAAATGATGTTATAAATATCCAAATAGCCCTTGGCAGAAAAAAGGTTCCCCACCCCTGCTAAGCGTTTGCTACTCCAAGTGTCATCTATAGACCAACAGCACCAGCATCACCTGGGTGCTTCTTAGAAATTTAGAATTCAAGCCCTATCTCTGCCTTTCTGACTCAATCTACATTTTAGCAAGAACTCCTGGGATTCCCACCCACATTTAAGTTTTAGAAGCTGTGGACTAGACATTAATCCCATACCTTCAGTCTCCTTTACAATTTCCTTTGACCTCGAGAGCTAAGGCTCTGCAAATCCACATCCAATCGGTTAAGAGCAGACTAGTGAAGAACTAGTTAGGTTTCACAGTGAGTTCTGTCAAAGACTGTTATTTTAGGATGGGAAGGGACATTAGGAATTATGGAAGCATAAAGAGACCATGTGATTTGCCACTCAAATCAAGACATTTCATAAAGGAATGGTAACACTATTAAAGGATATGCCACAGGGCCTGCCTGAACTGTGGTATAGTGGGTTAAGTTGCCTCCTGCGATGCTAGATCCCATTTGAGTGCCGGTTTGAGTCCCACCTGCTCTACTGTGCATGCGACTCCATGTTAACGTGCCTGGGAAAAGCAGCAGAAGATGACCCAAGTGCTTGGGCCCCTGCCAACCATGTGAGAGACCCAGATGGAGTTCCAGGTTCCTGGCTGCAGCATGGCCCAGTCATAGCCATTGTGGCCATTTGGGGAGTGCGCCAGCACTCTCTTTCCCTCTGTCTGAACTCTGGCTTTTCAAACAAAACAAAACAAAGTTATGTCAGGACAGCAGAGAAAACAAAACAGAAAACAGGATCCTGGACAATTTCATTACTGGGCACAATTGATAAAGTTGAAATCCATAATCTCTCAATCCTACTAACACCCTCTCCAGGTGGCTGGTATTGCCCTGATTTCACAGCTGCAGGCAAGTAGAGTGGGTTGAATTGCAGCCTCTTCAAAGGTAAGTCCAAGTCCCAGCACCCATATCTGTGAAAGTGACCTTATTTGGAATAAGGATGTTTGGAGATGAAGTATCATTAAATGAAGGAGCTGATAACACCATCTTGGATTAGGGTGGGCCCTAAATCCAAGCAAATGTGTGTCTTTGTAACAAGAGAAAGAGGCCACAGGGAGTCTGAAGAAGAGGTTGGAGTGATGTCTACCATCTAAGGGACTCTGGGAGCCACCGGTGGCTGGAGGAGGCCAGGAAAGATTCTCCCGGTAGCCTTTAAGGGGAGCATCACCCTGCAGACAGAGACCTTGACTTCAGACCCTAGCCTCCAGAACTGAGAACAAATTTCCACTGCTTAATTAAAAGCACTACAATGGTGATTTAAGGCAGCCCTAGGAAGGAAATGCAGTCAGTGAGGGGAGTTGGGACTGCAGGAAGGGAGGATCAGACTGGCTTCACGTCTTCAAGGTGTAGTGGAGTGACAGAAAGGGAGACAAGGAGGGGGACAGGCCAGGAGCTTGTCCTTCAGGTGTCACTGCAAAAGTGAGCCCTTGTGTCCCTTGGGATCTTACCTTGGCTCTCCTGTGTTTTTAGGTGGAAAGCAGAACTTTTGAGCCAGGCTGCCTTTAGATCTCTGCATGGAGCTTTACAAAGCAGTTCCAGAAAGCAACCCCCAAGCCAAAACTAGTTCACGGAGTTTGGCTGTGAGCAGTAAACATCACCAGATAGGCAGGCGCAGCAGGTGAAGTAGTGGCTTGGAAACTCCAGTCATTGTTGGAATGCCAGCGGGAGTCCCAGTTCCTCAGCTTCTGATCCAGCTTCCTGCTGGTGCACCCTAGGAGGAAGCAGATGATGGCTCAAGTGCTTAGGCCCCTGCCACCCACATGGGAGCCCTCAAGCTGGGGTTCTGGGCTCCTGGTTTCAGCCTCGACCAGCTCTGGCTGTTGCGGGAATTTGAGGAGTGAATCAGTAGATGCAAGATTCTTTCCAGCTGAAGATAATAACTTAAACATTTTTTTTACAGATTTATTTATTTGAAAGAGAGAGAGGTCTTCCATCCACTGATTCACTCCCCAATTGGCCAGAACAGCCAACCTGAAGCCAGGAGCGTCTTCCGGGTCTCCCACGTGGGTGCAGGGGCCCAAGGATTTGGGCCATCTTCTACTGCTTTCCCAGGCCATAGCAGAGAGCTGGATTGGAAGTGGAGCAGCCGGGACTAGAACCAGCGCGCACATGAGATGCCGGTGCTTCAGGCCAAGACGTTAGCCTGCTGTGCCATAGCGCCGGCCCCCAATAACTTAAAATTTAATAAAATCACTGGCAGTTGTGTGCACTCAGGGCTAGAATGTGCTTGAGCACAAGACTTTCGCCTGAACTTTTGCCTGAATGTGTAGTTTAAGAGAACCAATAAAAATCTTTGAGATTTTGTGCTAAACACTCATTTTTAGCAAGGACTTTGGGCCACTTCCCGCAGTCGTTTTCCTTGTTTTGGTAACTGGCAGCCCATACAGACCTTTAATTTTGGGAAACCAAGTTTGACCCTTATGCATTGCTGAGTGGATTCTGACCCCTTCAGTGCTTGTGTGTGGTGGAGGGGATGTGGTATGTGACACCCACCTGGCAGCAGGTGCAGAGGACAAACATTTTCGTTCTTTGCAAAGGGAGGGGGGCTTTTCGTTTCCTCAGCTCCCCACTTCCTGCACACCCTGGGCAGGGATCCTTTTCTCTGCAGTATTTGCTGCTAGCACCGCTTCAGTTCAGTTTGCCGGCCCTCCCTGTTTTTCCAGATTGAAAACAACCCGGAAAGATCTCTGTCGGAGATTTTTGGCCCGATGCAGAGATCGAGGTCTGATTCGGCGGCGATCTGGAAACCCTGGGAGGCCCGAGTTTCTCACTGACTCCCGTTCTCAACAGCCCTTCTCGGGCTCATTCTCAACAGCAGCTGAACCGCAGTGGAGCAAACAGCTTCAGGGAATTGACCTTCAGCGCCCTTCTTGGGAAGGGAGGGGCGGGGGATTGGAGAGGCACCCGATACCCCCGAGCCCCGCAGCGTGGCGGAGGCGGGCTCCTGCCTGGGCCTCCGTGCGGTTAGTGCGCAGACTGCGGGGGATGGAAGGGAGCAGCCGAGGGGTCTGTCAGGCAGATGGCGGCCGAGCGGATTAAGAGTCTGGTGGAGGGAGCTTGCTACTCTCTGGAGAAGCAAGATTCAGCCCCACAGCTTCGGAGGGGAGGCAGGCGTGAGAGCCTCTGATGCGACATAAACGGCTGCTCGTCCGCCTTTCCCTCGTCTGCCCTTTCAGTCGTTTTTATACACCCGCGCAAACAAGATCGTCCAAGTGGTTGATTCCGGGGGCGAAGGAAAGCGGATGGAAAAGCCCCAGAAAGAAAGCAGACGTGCTGGGGAAGGCGTGGCGCGGGGGAAGGAGGGAGGCCGTCCTGCGGGATGCGGCTCTGGACCTGGGAGCTCCCCGTTGGGTGGCGGAGGAGGTGGGGCGAGGGCAGCGCGTTGAAAAGCCGGAACGCAGCCAGCCACCCGCACAGCCCGCAGCCCGGAGGCGGCGGAGCTGGGCGCCCGCAGGGATCCTCGCTCCGGGAGCGCCCGCGTGAGTCACCCGCTGAGCTGTCGCAATCGTCACCCAGAGGAAACCAGGCACGGGGCGGGGCGCGTCCCTGGTGCGCTGGCGCGCTCTGCCCGCGCCGCGGTGTCCCTGGGCTCCCGCCTGCTCGGGTCCTCTGGCCGGCGGGCTCCAGCCCTAACCCCGGGCCGTAGCGCAAGAAGAGTTAACTGGCGCGGCCAGGAGCGCCTGAGGAGGAAGGAAGGAAATTGCTGCGATCCTGAAAGTTTTTTACTTCCTCTCTTCTTTGTCCCGCAGAGGTGAGTGCCGAGAGGCTGCGGCGGCTGCGGCACTGACTTTCCGGGGGCTGGGCTTGCGCTCCGCTCCCGCAGCCCTCCCTGGCCTGCCCGGGGACCGCGCAACGTCGCGCTCGGACCTCCACCGCGGATCTCTCGAGCGCGTGCGGCGAGCCATGGACGGCGCAGACCTGGCCGGGAAGATCCTGTCCACCTGGCTGACGCTGGTGCTCGGCCTCATCCTGTTACCTTCGGCCTTTGGCGTGTCCCTGGGCATCTCTGAGATCTACATGAAGATCCTGGTGAAAACTTTAGAGGTGAGGGCCCGGGGGGATGCGCCCCGCAACTCTGAGGGCTTACGGCCAGGACCCGTGTTCGCGCGGGCAGAGCCCAGTTGACGCGAGGGGTCCAGCGGCCAAGGTCGGTGGTCGGGGAACCCGTGTGCTTCGGCTTCGCTCCCGCACTAGCGCAGCCAGCTCCACAGCTTCTCCCGAAGAACCCGAGGGAAACGGGCTGAGATCACTGGACCACCCTACTGTTTCCTCCCCGTTTTATTATTCCTGTTTTATCGATTAGAATAACAATGCGACCGCCTTGGTACTGGCACCGTCTGTATCCCACGTGCCCTGCAGCTGTCACTCCCCTGGTTTTTACAACCTCAGGTTTCAGAGGTCCTTTCGTGTACTAAGGCATCCTGTCCGGGGAGGCATCCTGTTCTACTGTGCACCGAAGATAAGAACCCAATTGCTGGATGGCAGAAAGACATCTGATTTTATTTTAGTGGAGTCATGGAAATTTTATCTGACCGATGGCATTTGAAATGCCATTGAGAGGGTGTATTCTTTGACCTCAGCTCTGTCTATTCTGTTATTTCCAATAACAGAAGTGGGCGTAGGAAGGAGCAACCACAGCTTACCCTGACACAGGGCTTTTTGTTTGTTTGTTTGAATTAAGTTTCCAAAAGCTCTGTAAGGTTGGGAGGGCCTTTTACAGATAAGGACTCAAATAAGTTCAGTGTTTGGATTTGTTTAAATGAAGGGTTTGGTACAGGAGTGTGAACTGAGAATCTCCCGTAGGTGATACTGGTTTTCTTAGATGAGGTACCAGAATCCCAGCTGTCTGTGTGTGACCTTAGGGAAGTCACCCACTTCTTGTGCCTCATTATGCTCAGCTATAAGATCGGGGTCCATGATACCCCTAGAAAAGAGCCTGCCTATGTTAGGTGCTGTATGAGCCCATTTCAAAAAGTTCACAGAAAAACAAAATTAAAGGTAAGGGTTTTTTTGGTACAAAATAATTATTAACATCTGTGCCTAGTTTTCTCATAATGTGCATTTCCATGAACTTTTTGAAGGTCCATTGGGTGTCTCCTGCTATTAAAGGAAAAATATGATTCCAGCATCTTTGTTACTCTTTCAAGGTACCTGCTCTTCCTCAGCTTGTGGGCAGCTCCCAGATGTTTATGTGTTCATCTCTTTTATTGTTTTTAAAGATTATTTATTTGAGAGGCAGAGTTACAGAGAGGGAGAGACGGAGAGGTCTTCCACCTGCTGGTTCACTCTGATCTGAAGCCAGAAGCCAGGAACTTCTTCCAGGACTCCCATGACGGTGCAGGGGCCCAAGCACTTGGGCCATCTTCCACTGTTTTCCCAGGCCATAAGCAGAGAGCTGGATGGGAAGAGGAGAAGCCAGGATAAGAACAGGTGCCCACATGGGATGCTGGCACTGCAGGTGGAGGCTTAGCCAACTACATATGCCACAGTGCTGGCCCCAGCCAGATGTTCGTCTCTAACCCTGCACTAACCTTTGACACAGCTTCTCCCAGCTTATCTCCTTGTCCAACTTGTCTCTGTGGCTAGTGTTCCCTCCTTCTCAGAACTCTAAGATGACTGAACTGTTTTTCCACCCAGCAGCCAATGTCCACATGAGGCTGGAGGGAAGCTGCATCACATATGTTGACTTCCAGGTGCTCACTCCTGTCTGTCCCATTTTGGTATTTCGAGGTTTCCTTAAAAGAGCTGTGGAATTCGAATAGGGAGTCACTTCGTGAGTCAGCTCTGCTTTGTTGGTCATGACTACCTGGAGCTTCTGTGTTTGGGAGCAGCTGGGCTCATCAGGAAAGGGGGTTGGGGTCCCAGAGTGATTGTTGCTTTAGGTGCAGGGGAGGGAAATAGCAACCCAGTATTTTCCATCCTTCCACTAGGAGTGTTAGATGTTTAAAAGACGTTTCTGTTAGGCTGGTGTTAGTGCAGTGGTTGCTTTTCCCAACTATAGGTGTCATTCCCTTAAAAACTTGTACCCATTATTTGGTTGTAGAATATCTTTAGATCTGGACAAGTGCTCTGCTCTCTTGTAGATGCCATTCAACACCCGGCCCTTTAGTGACTCATTATTCCTTTTCTAAGTTCTCAAATTGATTTGGTTCTTTTCTTTACATACTGGTCCCAAGAATATCCTTTGGGCTAGTTGACCAGAGCTGGATATTTCTCTAGTTTCTTTGGTGATTTACGTACTATTTTAAGGGATCATGTAGTTTTATGCATTATGGATTCACTTTTACAAGCTTTCTTGTCAGTGGGAGGCTTTTTCATGACCATACACTCAAATTTGTAAGTTGAAATATGTGTAGGCTACCTTCTGAGTAGTTGACTGTGGTACTTGTTACTTGTCAAGTAACTCATCAAACCGAACAGTCTTCTTTGATTCCTTCTTAGTTCATCAGTTCAGACAATATTTGTTTATTGAACACCCACTGCATGCCTTCTTCTGTACTTCATGTATGCCTAAGTTCCTAATATGGCAAGCTACTTGATAACAAGGCTTGAATACTTGGCTTAGAATACGTTTAGTGAGTCTCTAAACTAGGGACCTTCAAGAGGTATAGAATAATTTGTTATGCATATGTATGTCAGTAATGTAACTTTATATTGCGAAAATTATTTTAGGAATATAAACTATGAAAAAAAAACTTTTGGCTGAAGAGATATTTAGAGGACAGTGAGGGTATGTGTTGGAATCTCGGGGTGGGTATGTGAAGTTTTTATGTTTTTCCAACAGGAGCATGGATTAAACATTGGAAACTACTGCTCTCAACCATGAAAATTAATTGTAAGCTTAATGATTAGGATCAGAGAGGGAAAAGATTCCTATTTGGCATAAGGTTCAGGTTTAGAGAGAAATAAAAATGGAAGGAGAACGTACTATTGATGCAGAAGAAACAAGTCAGGGAATGGCATGTAAGATATAAGTCATCCAATTTAACCAGAAAATACAGGCACTGGACACTTAGTGTTTGTGAACTGATTTTCTCTCCACTTTTGTGGAATAAAATGGGAGCATGAAAAGATTACTACAAATCTCTAGCCTTCTGATCTTGGGCAGGTCACTTAACGTTGCAACGTTAGTTTCTCCATGTGCATATAAGAGTATGCCACATGGCTTATTGTGCAGGTTAAGGGAGGAAAGAGGGTTGAAAGCACTTGGTACATAGTAAGTACTTAAGTCTTAGTGGAGTCTGAACTGGAGCACTCTTTATTGTTTGTTTTATTTATTTTCTGCTCTCATGAGGCTAAGATTTAACCTCTCATCATGTCTTTATTTTATTTATTTATTTTTTTTTGACAGGCAGAGTGGACAGTGAGAGAGAGAGAGAGATAGGTCTTCCTTTTTGCCGTTGGTTCACCCTCCAATGGCTGCCGCGGCCGGCGCGCTGCGGCCAGCACACCGCACTGATCCGATGGCAGGAGCCAGGTACTTCTGGTCTCCCATGGGGTGCAGGGCCCAAGCACTTGGGCCATCCTCCACTGCACTCCCTGGCCACAGCAGAGAGCTGGCCTGGAAGAGGGGCAACCGGGACAGAATCCGGTGCCCCGACCGGGACTAGAACCCGGTGTGCCAGCGCCGCAAGGCGGAGGATTAGCCTAGTGAGCCGTGGTGCCGGCTTCATCATGTCTTTAATGGGTCAGTACACCTACTCAGGCCAAGTCTTCTTGCTTTTTGATTTAATTATTATTCTTTTCCTTTACTGTCTCTTCTTTCCACCAATTAGTTTTACATCTTTTAAAAAAGGCATGTCATACCCCATTCTCACTTTGCCAATTGGACTTTTATGTCTTTATTGGTCATTTAAGTGGGGCAAAGGAACTATCCTGTTAAAGCTCAGGCAAATTGAATGTTTGTCTTGTAACCTGTCAGAGGAAACAAATGAAAAAAAAAGGCATGTTGGTAATTCTCATATGGTTATGACATCTGTATAAGAAATACCTCTAGGATTGGGAATAATAATAAATGCGCTAGAAGTCAATGGCTCATTATGTTGTGGGCTCGGTTAGGACTAAATTCCTGTATTCCTACTCTAGGCTCTTGCCTCTTAATTAGAAAAATGTTCTAAGTAGAGGTATAAACACAATGTATAGTGAAAGTTTATTCAAAAGGTGAGGAACACACACACACACACACACACACACACACGAGCATTGTTCAGGGATAGTGGGCCAGGAAGGGAAAAGAGAAATTTCCATATCCTGCTTGCTCTGGATCCACGTGGAGAGGGAGAGCGAGCCTCCCCTTTTCCCTTTACCAGGCTTCTTATGAGCTTAGAAAGGGGAATGGTTACATGGTACTGGCCGCAGGTCCCAGGTAAGGGGAGGTATATCCTAGGGAAAGAGTCATTTGATTGACAAGTAGGTAGATAGGATTACATGGGGTGGGGGTATGTGGCTTCCGGCTCCTGGACCTAATCTAGCTACCTGCCTTATCCCATATAATTTACAATGGAAGATAATAATACAGAATAATAGAGCTACCAAAAGGACACAATAGGCATTTATCTTAATTCCACAACAAATCTGTAAGACAGGGTCTGTTATTACTTCCATTGACAAACTGGGGAGTGAGGAGTCAGAGAGGACATTTGGGGAGTGGCACACAGCTGTCAGTGGGAGAATTGGGGTTTTATTGTGAATCAGGAGTCCAAGTTCTTTTTTTTTTTTTTTTTAACTAATTTTTTCTTGAAAGGCATAGGGAGAGAGAGAAAGGTATCTTTTATCCCCCAGATGCCTACAACAGCCAGAACTGAGCCAGGCTGATGCCAGGAGACTGAAAGTCATTCTGGATCTCCCACATGGTGGCAGGGACCCAAGTCCTTGAGCCATCATCACTTGCTGCTTCCCATGGTGTGCATTAGCAGGAAGCCATAATTGGAAGTGGAGTCAAGACTTGAACCCAGGCACCCTGATACAAAATATGGGCCTACCCAACGGTGTGTCTTAAACCGCTGTGCCAAATACCTGCCCCAAGCCTGAGTTCTTAATCTGCCAGGATAACAGCCTCTAAAAGAAACTTTTATTTTGCTACAGATGGTGGCCAGCTGCTACTTAATTAAACATAATGACTTTAGAATTTGTATACAATTTTGTGCATTTTTAGCTCCTTTCCCTTTATTTAGTTAATCTTTAATCTTTGGTCATTTCTTTTTAGTGTAAAATTGGATGTTGTAATTGTCTAGGTGACCCTGTCACAATTTTGCAAGCTTCTGATCTAAGCTTCAAAGATGAGACTCGAGACCATTTCTGCTTGGAGAATTTTAGACAACCTGGTGAACTTTGGATGCTCCTAGAGGCTGTGAAAATTAAGTGGAGAAAACCTGACTGATGAGTGCCTATGGACTTTCCTTGGAGGGCAGGGAGAGCAGGGCAGAGGGACAGTGGGGATTGTTAGAAGCCGCTTTGGTGATCGGAGCCCTCTTGCCTTGAGACAGATGTGTTCTGCGATTGCTCTGGAAGAGATCTTCTGCCTTTGTGTTTACAGCTGACTTGACAGTGTAAGAGCTATTTATTGGGAGATGGACTGAGGAGCTGGAAAAATGTGATCATTTTGGTACCTCCATAGAGTGAGGGGTGTGGGGAGGGAGGAGGAAGCCACTGTTTTTCTGCTTTCTGGTGCACTGTGTGATGGGTACCACTGGATTCCCTCCTTTAATCTTCATGACCACCCTGGTGTTTGTCCCTGCTGTAGAGATGATGAAATGGATGCTCAGACAGGTTCAGGTCAGAGTGAATTCCAGCCAGGTCTGCAGTTGCAGCATCCATCTCCTCTGGCTGCAGAGCACAGGTGCCATCTCATTTTCCCTGCACAGTAAACCTAATTCCCTTTGGCATCAAATGGCTGCTTCTCCAGCCTTGAAATGTGCTTATCTTGTGTGTCATAACTGCATTTTGTAGGGCAAACTTGGGAGCTACCGTTTGGGTTGAGGTTATGCGTTGGTGAAACCTGGCTAGTGGCAGAACATGGAGCTCTTTGTCACATATCTCGCTATTTGAGGAGTGTCACTGTCATCTGCTCTGGCTGCCACAATAAAATACCTCAGACTGGGGGGCCTGAACAGCAGACATTCATTTTTTCTTCATTTTGAAGGCTAGAAGTCCAAGGTCAAGGTGTCGGTAGGTTTACTTTCATTCAGAGGCCTCTCCCCTGGGCTTGTATGGGTGCTTCCCTCTCACTGTCTACCTTGCTTTTCTGTACACACACCCTGGTGTCTCTGTCCACATTTTCTCTCCCAGAAACACCGGTCAGATAGGAGTAGGGCCCTCTGTAATGGCTTCCTCATAATTTAATTGCCTTTAAAAGATCCTGTCTCCAAATAGGGTTTTTCAAAAAGTTCTTAGAAAATGAGATTTAAAAACAAGTTTATTTTCATGCAAAAAAATTTGAAGTCTAGGCATAGTTTTTGCCATAATATTCATTTCCATAGAAACTTTCAAAGCCCTCTTGTGTTGTCACATTCTGAGATATTGATAGATCCACCTTCAACATGAATTTTTGAGGGCGCAGAATCTAGCCCATAACAGCCAGAAAATACCAGTATTTTCCGTCATATAAACATAGAATACATGTTCTAGTGTAAGGAAACTACCGTTTGTATAAAACATAAAGTCACTTGCCCACAATAAGAAAAGTGAGTTCCAAGATGAATGATTGTTTACAAAATCTTATTTTAATCCCATCTTTCATTTCCTTAGAAGTGATAATTGATGCCAAAGCTTTAAGTGAAAAACTATAGAAATAGCCTTCACCTCAAATGAGAAAAGACGGCAGGTCCTAGTCCAGAGTTTGAGAACTCCTTCATGAAATCAGTATGAATCTAGAATGACCCAAATGACCCAACCAGACTAGGACTGAGGTTTGGTTGTTTTTTTTTTTTTTTTTTTTTTTTTTTTAAGATTTGTTTATTTGTTTGAAAGGCAGAGGGACAGAGATGAGAGAGAGAGAGATTTTCCATCCCCTGGTTATCTCCCCAAATGCCCCCCAATAGCCAGAACTGGGCCTGGATGAAGCCAGGAATCAGGAACTCCGTTTGAGTCTCCCACTTGGGAGGTAGCAGGAGCCCAAGCACTGGAGCCACCATTTGCTGCTTTCCCAGGTGCATTAGCAGGAAGCTGAATTGGAAGTGGAGCAACCAGGAATGGAACTGGTGCTCTGATATGGGATGCTGGTCCCTGGGCTGAGTTTTGTTAACATTGGTGATTTGCCACTTGAAGCTGGGAGATTTGGCTTGTCTTTGCTGGGTGCACTCCTGGTGCTCATGGTATGCTCCTGCTTGGTTCTTGGGGTGGTGGTGCAGGGGTCTGATGTTGTTAATTCATGCCCTTACTCCCTGATCTTCAAGTGTGTTTTAGTTATTTATTCTCTTATCAATTACTTTCTCATTTATTTGAAAATTGTTGAGGCTGGTGTCGTGGTGCAGCAGGTTAAGTCCATCACTTGCAACCTTGGCATCCCATATGGGTGCCAGTTTGTGTTCTGGTTGCCCCACTTCCCATCCAGCTGTCTGTTAATGTGCCTGGGAAAGCAGTGGAAAATGGCCCATGATTTGGGCCCCTGCACCCATGTGGGAGACCCATATGGAGTTCCAGACTCCTGGATTCAGCTAGCTATTGTGACCATTTGAGGAACGAACCAGCAAATAGAAGATCTCTTTGTTTCTCTGCCTCTGTCTCTCTTTCTCTCTAACTTTGCCTTTCAAATAAATAAATCTTTTTTAAAATTTTTATAAGCTCTCAGGTTAACAAACCTTTCTGAACCTAGCAAAAATGGAAGTTTTTGCCTTGATATGTTGTTAGTGCTTATTTCTGTTTATAATCATTGTAGTGCTTTTTACCTCTTCTTTTGTTCTGTCTCGCTCAAATCCGTCCTTTTAGACATTGTTAGCTTCTGAAATTTTCATCCTCTAGATTTGATTTTAATTGCTTCTTTTCTAACCAAAAGAAATACACCAACTCATAATTTTTTAAAGATTTATTTATTTACTTGAAAGAGTTACACAGAGAGAGAAGAGGCAGAGAGAGAGAGAGAGAGAGGGAGGTTTTCCATCCGCTGGTTTACTCCCCAGTTGGCCACAACAGCTGGAGCTTTGCTGATCTGAAGCCGGGAGCCAGGAGCTTCTTCCCAGTCTCCCACATGGATTCAGGGGCCCAAGGACTTGGGCCACCTTCTACTGCTTTCTCAGGCCACAACAGAGAGCCAGATCAGAAGTGGAGCAGCCACGGCTTGAACCAACACCTATATGGGATGCCGGCACTATAGGCAGTGGCCTCATCTGGTAGCCACAGCGCCGGCCCCTTCATGATTCTTTAGAATGCTGAGTTGCAAAAGTTCACTTGTGGTTTTTGAACTATGATGTTAAAGGTAAATAATTTTGGGAATGCATAAAAAGACATTTAAAAAATTATAAAAATCACATTTGGTATATTTCTTTATACTGTGTGTACATTCAAAGCAAACTGAGAGGTTTTCTTCCACTTCTTAGAATCTCTCAAATCCTCTTAATCATAACATTTTTCTCTGTACCTGAGTAGGTAAGTACGAGTTGCACACAATTTTCTTTAATTTGTGATTTCCTGATTCCTTTCTGGCTCTTAAGTTTGTGCTGCCTCTCAAGCTTCCTTCCTTCTTTCCTTCTTTCTTTCCTTCCTTCCTTCCTTCCTTCCTTCCTTCCTTCCCTCCTTCCCTCCTTCCTTCCCTCCTTCCTTCCCTCCCTCCCTCCCTCCTTTCCTTCCTTCTTTCCTTTCTTCTTTCCTTCTTTCCTTCTTTCCTCCCTGCCTCCCTTCCTTCCTTCCTTCCTTCCTTCCTTTCTTCCTTCCAAAAAAATGTATTTTTACTTCCTTAGATATAAACACAGGTATAGAGGAGAGCTTCCATCCATTGGTCCACTCTCCAAATGGTTGGGTTTTGCTAGTCTGAAACCAGGAGCCAGGAACTCCATCTGGGTCTCCCACATGGGTGGCAGAGACCCAAGTACTTGGGCCATCTTCTGCTACTTTCCTAGGTACATTAGCAGGGAGCTGGATCAGAAGCAGAGCAGCTGGGATTTGATACTGCATTGTAAGCCACATCTTAACCCACTGTGCCACAATGCTGGCCTCAGGGCTTTATTTTTAATTTCAGTGGTGTATAAGAATGGTTTATATATTTTCCATTGTGTCTGACCAGTTTAAATTAATACTGCTTGTTTTTGAACAGTGGGCCACGATACGCATTGAAAAAGGAACCCCAAAGGAGTCAGTTCTTAAAAATTCAGCCTCTGTTGGTAAGTCTTCCTTTTCATTTTTATTGTTAAAAATAATCAAACTGGGTAGGTGTGTATCTACCCAACTTGAACTTCAAAGATGCACAGAACAGAGTGTTACAGACTTTAGAGCATTGAAAATTCTCCCCTTCATGTAGAATGGCAACTGTTTGAGTTTGGTTGACTTTTCAGTCTAAAGGTAATAATTTATGTTGGATCTTCGATGTGTTCATTCAGACATTTTCCTTCCTAAGAGCTTGTGCTTGAAGATGACTGCCTATGGTTCTAAAGATGTTGTGAATGGCCAAAAAAAAAAAAAAAAAAAAAGTAAAAAAAGTGGACTGGTTGGACCACTTAGGAGTTAGCATTTGTTATTGAGGTTTCAGTAGCTCCTTATTCTAACGTCTACTGCAGTCTTCAAAGTATGTTCCTCAAAATGTGCTTTCTTGCTGAAGGCTCATTCATCATATATGAGCTGTGGTTTCCAGTAAAATAAGCTTGGGAATGAACACATATTTTACCTTCCTTTTAGAGAATACTATTTCATGGTAATAAAGATTCAGATAAGTCTTGCAATAAAGAAACACAGTTAATTTTATTTAATGTAGTATTTCCTAAACTTATTTGCCCATAATATCTTTTTCCCCTGTGTGATATCTGTTAGACGTGAGACCACAGTCTGCTGGAAGTGAGCTAACAAATTGGCCTAAACCACTCCAGGCCTCTTCTGTGTGCTTTCTATTTATTTGTCTGAATAAACCTTTTCATTTTTGGGTAAGATTTTAAAAATTTTTTTCAAAATTTATTCATTTTTGAAAGACACACAGACATATGAGGGAGAAAGAGAGAAACGAGCAAAGAGACAGAGACAGATACAGAGAGATGGAGATGTAGAATCTTCCATCTGCTGGTTCAATCCCCAAATGCCCACAGCAGCTGGGGCTGGGCCAGACTGAAGCCAGGAACATGGAACTCTATCTGGATCTCTCATATAGGTTGCAGAGGCCCAAGTACTTGAGACATCATCTGCTGCCTTGGAGGGTGTGCCTTATCAGGAATCTGAAATCAGAATCAGAGCCAGGACTTGAACCCAGACCCTCTGAGAATGGGATACAGGTGTCCTGAGTAATGATTAACTTACACCAAATGCCTGTCCCACTAGAAATTTTAGTAATTAAAACACTGGGTTTGTAGGGGAGTAGAATTCTGTGGAAGTGATACCTATGCAATAAAGAAGGAATAGATTACTAGATTTAATTGGGGCCGGCGCCGTGGCGCAGTAGATTAATCTTCCACCTGCAGCGCCGGCATCCCTTATGGGCACTGGTTCTAGTCCTGGCTGCCTTTCTTCCCATCCAGCTCTCTGGTATGGCCTGAGAAAGCAGTAGAAGATAGCCCAAGTCCTTGGGCCCCTGCACCTGTGTGGGAGACTGGGAGGAAGCTCCTGGCTCTTGGCTTCAGATCGGCGCAGCTCCGGCCGTTGTGGCCATCTGGGGAGTGGGCCAATGGACGGAAGATCTTTCTCTCTGTCCTTCCCTCTCACTGTCTGTATCTCTACCTCCCAAATAAATAAATCTTAAGAAAAAAAATTACTAGATTTAATTAAAAGCTAAGTCTATGTGTTTTTCAAAAATAATATGGAAGCACTTTTGTGCTCCTGAGTTAGAAATGGCCAAACTGTCAGAGGCAGGCTGTATTGTCTGGACGCCTGTCTAAAAGGAATTGTGGAAGCTGTATGTTGTAGTGAGTGTGGAAATAAAGTATTCATCTGGAAACACTGAGCATTGCTGTGTACTGACCGAGGCAGCCAGTAGACTTCTGTGCTGCATATGCAAATGGACCCAAGGACTATCGCCAGGGTTGGGTTATTTCTACAGGGCTTAGTCCTCTTTATTTTGCCAGATACCTTCCCTCAGGTATAGCAGATCTACTAATTTTTTATTTTTCTGGGTATATTTTTTAAAAGTATGTCCTTATGGCTTAGGGAGAGAACAAACTTGTTTGCCATTTTTTGATGTCCAGGTAAGACTGGGCTGTCATTGATCTTGAATGAAATTCCATGGGCCTTATAGACTGGAGTCCTGGACCATGAATCTTCAAAGGCACAGGGTAGGCTTCACTTTGGTAGATTAAAGTGATTAAAAAAAATCACTAGGCTGTGGGGCCGGTGCTGTGGCATAGTGGGTAAAGCTGCCGCCTGTAGTGCCAGCAGCCCATATAGGCGCCGGTTCCATACAGCTCTCTGCTGTGGCCTGGGAAGGCAGTAGAAGATGGCCCAAGTCCTTGGGTCCCTCTTTGTGTGGGAGACCCAGAAGAAGCTCATCTTTTTTTTTTTTTTTTTAAAAAAAAGCACTAGACTGGGCTGGTGTCATGGAGTAGCACGTAAAGTTGCCACCTGAAATGCCTGTATCCCATAAAGGTGCTGGTTCGAGTTCAGCTGCCCCACTTAAGATTTTGCTCCCTAATGCACCTGAGAAGGGCAGCAGACGATGGCCCAAGTGTTTGGGCCCCTGCCACCCGTGTAGGAGATGGGATGAAGCTCCTGGCTCCTGGTTTAGCCTGACCCAGCCCTGGTCTTTACAACCTTCTGGGTAGTGAACCAGTGGATGAAAAATCTGTCTGTCTCTCTCTTTGACTTTCAAATAAATAAATCTTAAAAAAAAATCACTAGATGAGGGTGTCCAATAGCATGGGTTTAGTTTTTGTTTTTTTTTTTTCTTAGTTTGTACACAAATGAAAACCTTACAAATTCTTTCACCTGTTGGATTATTATTTTTTATCATGTCTTTTCTATTTTTCATCTTTGTGGATGGTTCTTCCAAGAACAAGTGGAGGTGAACAGGAAGAGAACATACAAATTGCAGTGGTTTTTCTAAGGCTGTTGCCTATAAAATATATCACGTTTCATTCAGGGTGGCTGCCCTTTTTTTCAGCCTATGAAATTGGGAATCGACTCTCACTGTTAGTGAGTGTCTGTGATATCCGAGGCTGACATGGAATCCAAAGATGGTGCAGATGGGGTTCCTGTGGGGAGGCAGGCTGCAGCAGGCCACTGGGATCGATGCTGAAAGAGCTGCATGTGCCAAGGACGATGTGAGCTCTCATTTAGGCTCTGTTAATCCCACCGCTCTGCATGGCCTGCACAGCACCTTCTGTACCGACTGCTCGAGTAACCAGGACTTAACTGTGTCCGTGAGCATCTGAGATTTGTAGTTTAGTGATTTCTAACTGTTGGTTCATCCTGGTATTTGGAGTCATCAGAGAAGTAGTGTCATAATCTTAGACAGACTGAGAGGATGATGAAACACATGGAGCACTTGTGTGCCTGGCTGGTGCAATCTTCCGTCTTTGGAGCATCATGTCTGTGTACTGCTGCCAATGGTAGCACAAGTCAAGGTTGAGCCAATCAAAGGTTAGGCGGAGGTTGCAGGCAGGCCCTAGGGCCCCGGGAGTGTGGGTGTGATATTGAGATGTTTCTGAATGATATTGTCTTGATGATAATTTTGGGAAACTCAGAGGGACAGATTAGCTAAACAGAGAAAATAGTTATGTTTGTTTTCTGCACAAAAAAATTCCTTCTACTGCTCTTTTACTTAATGAAACATATTTTTTGAAATGTATTTAAAGGCATCCTCCCCAGTTAAATCCCTCTTGTATTATATTTCTCTGCTTTTACTGAATAACCCAAATTAAAAGCTAAACCTAGGGAAATAACCTTTGTGTTTAAATAAATCTCTTGATTTTAGCCGTATTTTCTTCTGTCTTTTATTAAAAACTAATTTACTGAGCTTGAGATATGATTATGAGTAAGATCTCTTTAAAATCCTCTGGTATTAGATTGGGTGTTTAGCCTATTGATTGAGATACACAAACCCCACTTTGCAGTTCCGGGGTTCAAATCCCCACTCCAGCTCCTGTCTCCAGTTTCTTGCCAATGCAGACCCTGGGAGGCAGTGGTGGTGGCTCAAGTAGTTGGGTTTCCACCACCACATAGGAGTCCTGGATTGAGTTCCTGGCTCCTGGCTGTGGCCCCAGCCTAGTCACAGCTGTTGTGAATATGTGGTGAATAACCCAGTGGATAACAGCTCTCTCTGTGTTTATGTCTATGCCTTTTTCTCTTCCCCCACCTCCGTATCAAAAAAAAAAAAAAAAAAAGATCCCCATTATCGCATGTTCCTCTTCTATTTTAAGAGATTTTCCTCATCATAATATACAGATGAAGATAAATCATCTTTCTCTCTCCAATTAATTGTGCTACAGTGAGAATTTAACATCAGAGGAGTGTGTAGAGTAGCCCTTTTACGCTGTTTTTGGCCCTCTGAGAAAGATTTGCCAGAAGCACTACATAAGAATGTTAACACCATAGAGGTGAACAGTAATGGCTCACTTACTGCTTTTTCTCAGTAGTGCTTTCACTGTTCCAGATGAGGACAACTGCATCCCCAGGATCCCAGAGCTCTCGAGGTCTGCCTGAAGTTTTAACATTTATTATTTTAGCCTGGGGTAAATAGCAGAAGGGATCATTTGAGTTTCAAGAGCCAAATGCTTTGGGCATTGGCTGGTTTCCAGGAGTTGGTTAAGCTCAAATCAGTTGATAATTTTGATTGAAATTATAATAAATATAATTAATTATGTAATTATAGTGAGTCAAGATGAATTCCACGGTAATTGCCCTGTGGTACTAGGACATTGTGAATGATCAGCAGTCAGATGTCAACAGGCATGAATAAAGGCCTGCAGTTGATGTGGGGGTGAGTCAGAAACAACTAGAATGTACACAGGCTGGGCCTTAGTCATTTTGGCTTTGTTCCCTGGAGGGTGTGGTTGGCCCAGCTCGGCCCCATTGCCAATAGGAAGTGTCTGCAGCCTTGCCAGAAGACACCACAATGAAGACTTGGGGCCATGTGGCCTGCTGTTTGTTTAGTGCTCTGTAGCCGGTAACTCATGCCCCTTAGACCCTAGCCCTGTACCAGCCCAAATACTCAACACTCAGCGACTTCTGTTCCACCTAATCAGAAAAT